ATATCTTCTTGGAGCAGGTAAACCATACTATGCATTGGCTTTACTCGCCCTGATAGTTCCGCAAGTCATTTTTCAGGTAAAGCACAACCAAAGTGAATATTCTTTTACTCCCAATAGGTGTGGTGTTTGGCTTATGTGAATTCAGTTTGCTATGCACTTGCCTTCTCGGTAACTTGCTTGTTTATAAGATATTTGCAATGAAATATATGAAAAATTCCCTTAAAAGGGTTTTTTTAAGGGAATTTTTCTTGCTTCATTACTATTGTTAAATATCTATTATAGATTGAGAAAAGAAAATTTTGTGATAATGTAAAATTGCTGAATATTGCGCGCTCAAGTTGTGTTGTCCAGCTAACTTTATGTTGGCATCTTACTGGTTCTTATGCCTTGCAGTTTCAGTACTTCCTTAAAGACCCGGTGAAGTATGATGTTAAATACCAGGTACATTTCCACTATTGAACTTCTAAGAACTAAGTTTGTAGTTCCCGGGATGATATCTAGTGTTGTTTTAATAAACAATAACAAGTCTTATCTCATTAAGTAAGGTTGGTTTTATGGATTGCATTATGTCATTATGCTCTATCAACAATCAACTCTTTAGATAAACTGTTTATTAAAAAGTCATGCTCAATAACTTCCGTAAGTGATCATCTTGATCTTCTTCTATCTCTTCTGACTGGACTTGAGACCATCTGATCAACTTTCTTCATTGGTGCCTCTAACAACCTTCTTTATGCATGTCCAAATCACCTCAAGGTTGTGTTTGAATGGATGGATTTGGGTTGAGAATTTGGATTTAAAATCTCACATTTAAAATTTATAAATTTTAAATTCTTTGTTTGGATGATATAAAAAATTCAAATTATAATATTAAAATTCTTTGTTTAAATCTTAAGTAAAATTCCATATTTCAAATTCTATGTCTGAATTTAAAGGCAACTTGGACGACGTTGATGGTCTAGTCTAGGTCAAAGTCGGTGGTCCAGTCCCAATCTAAGGTAGTGGCTTGGTTTCAGTCAATGCTAGCTATCTAAACCTAGACAATGTCAATGGTTTAATCCCGATTGGCAGTGGTAGTTCGATCCTGATTGACATTGGTGGTTTGATCCTTGTCAAAGTGGACTATGTGGTCTTGATCAATGGTGGTGGCTCGGTCTTGATCTAACGCTTGATCGTAGGCCTGTCCCTAGACGACAGTGGCATTTGCAAATCGACACTGGTTGGACGTGACGGACTAGATTTATTGGAGGTGAAATGAATTGTGAAAAATTAAGTCATTGTTAGTCATCTTCAAATTGACCAACCCTTCATTTTTTGGTTGAATAACGGCAAATGAGAAATCATGAAATCTTAATTTTGGTTTTATTGACCTTCATTCTTCCTTTTCAACTTTCCTCTTTTTTGGGACAATGTGTGTGCATACATATATATTCGTGTATATTGTATATAATACTTCCCTGCTGACATTTTTTTATATGAAAAGTAAGTATTATGTGTAATTCATTTTATACCCTGGTTTCATGTTCATTTCTTCCATTTTCCCTTGCTCTGTATTTTTAGCACGCATAATTGGAGTAGTTTCTATTTCACTTTCAGGCCAGCGCACAGCCATTCCTTGTCCTCGGTCTCCTTGTTACTGCTCTAGCAACTAGCCACTAGTCTTCATTGACTTGAATGTGCAAGAAAGATATCCTGAAAAGCACGAATGGAGAAAATAAATATGAAGGCGAAGTGAAACAAAGCCAACGCACTGGTAATAAAGAATTTGGCAAAATATAATACCATAATACAGCCAGAATTAAGTGAGATCAAGGCTTGCTCTCTCATGCATAGAGGGTCCCGGCTCTTTCCTGGTGCTTTTACTTGCATTTCCTTCCAAGTCCACCCTACTCTCGGAAATTTTGGTTCCTAGGGATTTAGATCGAGAATGTTTGCCCTTTCTCTGAAAACTCTAAACAAGAAATCCTTTGTATACCAATGCTGTCTGTTGCCACTGGTAACGTATGTATGGATCTTTCCATAATGTGATTTGTAACTCATGTCTATCAGTCCATGCGTGTGTATTTTTTGGGGCACAGGCGGCCACACCGTGCTTGGCAATAACTGCCAACTTATTGTCCAACGAAATTTCAAGTCTTAGGATTGGTAGAGTATGTTGGATAGTGATTAAAAATCCAAATTCTCATATTATATGTCAAAATTAACTACGAACTCAAGATTATAATTTTTTTAATTAAATTCAACATTTCTTATTACATGTTAAAATCAATTATAAATTTTAAATCATGATAGCTTCTTCAAATAATCACTTATTTGATTTTTTTAGATTTTAAATATTTTTAAAATCTTAAAGAATTAAAACAAACAAATCAAAACTTGTCAAAAGCTTAGAGTTTAGACTTGGATTGCATTGGTATACAAAGGATTCCTTGTTTAGAGTTTTCAGAGGAAAGATAAATACTTTCAATCTAAACATAGAGGTTACCAAGTCTCGAATTCACCATCTTGTGTAAGGAATTTCAAGTCTCAGGCTCATACTTTATTCGAGGTAATTTTTTAAATATTAAGAATATATTGATTTATACATAGCCAGCTAATTACAAAATTGCATTTCAAAAGGACTGTAAGCAAAAAGATATATCTTAATATAATGGTTTTTTTATAATTAATTCACAAAAAATTAAATCCATCATCTTATGACTATGAAAGAAAACCTTGTTTTTTTTTCGTATTGATATAAGGTTTTCTTTAAATTCTGTTTTGAATCATATTTGTTTTTTTTTTCAAATGTATACTTATACAGTCTTTAAAATTTATGTTAGGAAAAATTAATCATTTAGTCCTTATAATTTTGACTTAATTGTAACTCAATTTTTAAATTTTGACTCATTATAACTCAGTTTTTAAAGTTTTGACTTGATTGTAAATCAGTTCCTAAACTTTACTTCTTGCAATTTAGTCCCTAAAGTTTCAACCTCTTAAATATTGGTCTCTATATTTTAAAAAATAAAATTATAAACACTAAAAATATTTTAAACTATTAATATTTATAAATATTAAAAGGTTTTAGTAATTTAAGATATTAGTAATAAATTTTAAAATATTTTTAATCTTTATAATTATATTTTTTAAAATATAAAAATTAATATTTAAGAAGTTGAAATTTTAGGGACTAAATTGCAAGAGACAAAATTCAGGGACTGATTTACAATTGAGTCAACTTTTAGGATTTAATTATAGCTAGTTAAAGTTTAGAAATTGAGTTATAATTGGGTCAAAACTACAGGAATTAAATGATTAATTTTTTCTTTATGTTAATTATAAAATGACCATTATTTCTTATTCATATAAAATATAAAAATATTTCAACCAACCATTTTGACCGAATACCGGTGATTACCAAGTCGTTAATATTGGAAATATCAATAAGTAATTAAAAAATAATATATTCATTTTAATAAAATTTTGCTAAAATATTTAAATATTTAGTAATTTAAATATTATTATTTATAAATATTCATTCAAAATTTATAACTTCTCTTTTCAATATTAACACCTCAACTAATTTTTTTAAAAATTATAGGTGATTTATAAATTAAAATAATATGATAAAATTGTAAGCCTTCTTCCAAAATTAATATAACCTTCTTCAAATTTGTATATCTAAAAAGTTAACTTGTAAATTGTGTGTGAATATTTATAAATAATAATACTACTTAAATTATCAAATATTAAAGTATTAATATTTTAGTAAGATATTATTTAAAAATTAATATTTTTAATTATTTATCTGTGTTGCTTGCAAAGATGATTTGATAATCATCGAGTAGTCATCGCTCAAAATGACTAGTTAAAATAATATTGTGTCTTTTATATGAGTAAGACATATTTCTGTAATTTTTTGGATTAATTAACAGTAAAATTAATGAATGCTTGACGAAGGAGCAATATTATTTTTTAAAAAAATTATTTATGCAGAATATTGTTCTACCCTTCACTACAGGCACCCAACACTCTTAACAAAAGTTTAGGAGTAAATTATGCCTTTAATTCTCATTTAATTGTCATATAAGTTGATAATACAAAATTTTAGATGTATTTTGATTGTTTATAATAATATGATATTTATTAATCCATTCAAATGTTAATTTATTATTCATCGCAATCGCAATCGCAATCCTATGCTATTTTCTAAATATCAAAGCTGTCTTTTTAACATAAGTATTGGAAAAGTCACGTGTATGGCGCCCACTAGTTTAACAAAATTAGAAATTTTACATTAGATATACAGATAAATGATGTATATTAATTTTAAAAATAAATATTAAGGTCGCATTTGATTGAATTTGTTTCTATTGTTAGAGAAAAAAGATGATTTTTTTAAAAAAAGAATTGGGTTATTTTGTTGCCCTGTCTTCGTAAAATATCGCCTATATTATATATCTTACCCCCAAAGTTGAGTAAAGCGTCTTACATGCTTTGTTTTTTATTTTCTTTTTTTGAAATACCAATGATCACTAACATATACTATTTTCTCACTTCTTCATAAATTTTATTGCAAAGCCAACTTTAGGGATCTGTTCTTTGAAATGTCCACACGCTAAGCTAAGCATCTCAGGAAAAAGCTATTTCGTTCTTTTTGATACAAAAAAGCTATTCAATTCTTGTTCTACACATTCCGCCACTCCCTTTTTTTTAATCTAATTTTTTTATCTAATCAGAATAAATTGAATTTTTAAGTTTAAATTAAGTTAAAAGTATTTTTAAACAACAGTTATTTAAAAGGTATTTGTGATGATAATAATATATAGCTTATTTGTCAGAAATTAAATTATGTAAGCTGTCAAGTGTCAATCTTTTCTAACTCCAAAAAAACAAATATGTAACATCTTAAAAGAAAATTCATGTGAAATTTGTGACACAATTTCCATGTTAAAAAAAAAAGGGTGATTGGCTCAATTCCAGGGGAAATAATCAATGTAAAAAGGGAAAAAAAAACCGGACAAGCGAGATAATTAATTTTCTCTGTTTTGGAATCTAATCATGGTTCTTTGAAATCTACCACACCGCTTTCAAGCTTCTTCCTAGAGTCATTTGAATTTCCATCACTTCCCAGTAACATTTCCGACAATCGCTAAGGTAAGTGTAATCATTTTTTATTTTCCTGCGACTTGTTCTATTATTGATTAACTTTGAGATTATTATTTCTATTATCTACTGCAGAATTTAGAAATGGTGTTATTTTGACATAATTAATGGAGGGTTCTTCATCTGATGGTAAACTGAAAATAGCTCCTCAATCGAAGGAACTGGTGTTGAGTGATCTTGCCAACACGCAACTGAGGAAGCCGCCAGTGTTTGAAAATCTGACATCACTTATAATCGTGCGTTGCAGCAGCATGCCAAAATTGTTCACAGTTTCAGTGGCTGGGCACCTCTCCTGTCTGAAACTGCTAAAACTATGTGATTGTGAAAAAATGGTTCATGTTCTTCAAGGTGATGATGTAGGAGCTGGAAACAGTGAAAAAGCATTAGTGCTGCAGAAGTTGGAGAGCCTCGTACTGAAACAGCTTCCAAGACTCACAAGTTTCTGCGAAGAAGAAGTTGATTTTGGTGAATTCCCCAAGTTAAAGATGGTTAGAGTGGAAGACGTTCCAAGCATGACCACATTTGTGAAGCGGCCTCTCATGACCCCGCAATTGAAGCAAGTTTATGAGACATATATTACAAAGTGTTGGCAAAGAGACCTCAACCAGACGATAAAATGCTTGCATGAGAAACTTGGTACACTAATTAATTCATCCAACTATGTTCATACTCTAGTACTCTTCATGTTATTTACTTTTGCTTATCATGGATATTGTTTTTCTTTGTTTCTGTTGGCTTTAATTTTCCTGATAGGCATTGTTAACGAGGTTTGGAGAACTAATCGGCAGGGCTTCGACTACCAGAGTAGCTTGGGGATCAAAGATATAGATTTTGAAAGTTCTTCATAGTTACTTTACTCTCTAACTTTCATCGTCAAGTAAATTAATTCTTACAAGCTACTTTCTCTTTCAATACTATTTATAAGTTACTAACTGACTTGTAATATGTCTCACTGGAATCAATATTTGACATTTTAAAATGGATCATTAACTTTGTCTAAAAATTAAATAAATTTTTAATTTTATCCCTATTAAATATATATAATCTTAATAACATATCTTCTCTCATTAACATTTAATGGGATAAAAGAAAAAATTAAGATTAAAATTTAATAATATGACTTATAAATGGAACTAATTTTTTTAATTTTTTTTATTTCATCAATAGGACTAGAAAGAGTAACATGCATGTGTAGGTGGGCGTAATTGCAATTATACAAAGTTTTAATGGTTTCCTTTGTTATTTCAATTCATGGCAAAAAAAATCTTAAATTTAATTGTTCTTATTTGAGATTGTTGATTTCTAAGTTTATTTTTTTAAAAAAATATATTTAATATTGAATTAAATTTTAAATACATTGAATACAAGGTTTAAATTAATATTAATATGATTTGTGAGATTGAATTATGACTATGATTTATATATAAAAAAATTTAAACTGATAAGCTTGAAGAAAGTTCTTCAAATTTTAAATGAAGGCAAGGTGTTAATTTGTGTGTGTATATGTTTTAGTGACTTCAGAAGCATTTCTTCTAATTAACTCTATTGATATGATTCATGGAGTTTGGAGTTTTCAAGAGCAAATTGTTGATATTGATTAGGGAATGGAAAACACAAGTTTGAGGTTTAAGGAAGCAGAAACTGGGTTGCATCAATGCACGCACGTATATTTATATGTGAATTACCATTGTAATAATAATGTGAACTCTTTAGAGATTATATATGGGATATATGAGATCTTGATGGTCACTCAAGCTTTAATTAGGTCGTGGATCAAATTTACCTTGATTCAAATTTCATATTTATAGATTAAGTTTCAGGAGTTGATTTTTTTATTTGAATTACTATATGTTTCATATTACATGTCCAGTAATATTTGTGGTAACTCACACTATAATCAAGTTGCTTTTGTTTATTTGTTTTAAATTTAAATTCCTTTTTTTCTTTTATTTTACGATCTCCTTTCTTTCTTCTAGAATTTTGGGGGTCTTTTCCGCCAATCTGTTCATTTTAATGGTCATCACACCATGATTGAATAGTGATATTATATTTTGTAGGTATTTCTATTTTATTTTTAAAAAATTTTCTCTTACATATTATTTTCATCTTTTGAATTGTTTCATGGATTTTTTTTTCCTTCTCGGGAAGATTCCTTCTAAAGATTTGGGAAGAAAAATAGGACTGGGCACGAGCATTTGAATATATTTTAATTTAATTTGTTTTCTTTGAATTCTTTCAACTGGTTTTAATATTTTAACTTAGTTGTAATTTACGAAAAGTTCACAAATCTGTACTATGTGCGTGCGTGTTAATCAGATAAGGTTAATCTTAAAAATAGTTGGGAATATACCATCAATGTCAATCAATAAATATCAATTTCCATCATAAATATCAATATATACATTAAATTATATGTAAAATAATTGCAGATGAATAGTTATTTTAATAGTATTTTTAATTTTAAAAAATTATAAATAGTTCTTTTTAAAATAAAAACATTATTTGGTTTATGTAGGTTTTTATTCTAATTTTCACTCGAAGGTTTATGCAAGTTTTACTTAATTGTAACTCAATACATAAATTTTGACCGTGTGAAACTCATTTTCTATAATTTTGCCTCAATTAAAACTTTTAGACCTTGAAATTTAATTCCCTATAATTCAACTCCAATAGTTTAAATCATTTAAAACTTTAATTTCTTAGTTTCAAGAAATAATTTTAGTCATTACAATTTTATTTTTCAAATTATAAGGACCAACATTTTAAATAACTATAATTATAATAAACAAGTTATATAGAATCAAAGCTCATTGACTAAGTTTCAATCGAGTCAAAAGTGAGTTGTGCTTAATCAAAATCCATTGACTGAATTGTAACAAAAACTAAAATTAAATGAATTAAATAATTAATTTTCATTAAAAGATATATATGGTGAAAAATGTGAATGTGGGACCCATAATAAATAAAGGTTTATGTACCTTGCCTAATGAATAAGAAATTTAATTTACAAAAATGTTAAAAATGTAAGTATTAGGAGATAAAATATGATTGGGTATAAACATGAAGGAAAGAATAAATGTGATTTAACCTTACATATGATGCACAGGTATTGATACGTGTATCATATCCGATTCAGAATAAAACATAGGATATGATACATTTTTGATGCATGCATATATATTTATAAAAACTCACAAAAAAGTTTAAAATATAATTATAATTTAGAAAATATCCAAACTAACATGTGTATATATATAGTCCTTTATAGTAATATTAAGCAAAACATAATAAGTAATTATACTTTTAAGCATAACATAATAAGTAATTATACTTTTATTTTAGTTATACCTAGAGGTAGGAAATGGGAGGGCCTAGGCCTATAGCCTAGTTTTTCTAAAAGCACTTTATTCTTGAAGTCTGGCCATTATTCAAAAAGTTTAAATTGTGCCTATAAGCTTGTTTTAGGGAAAAAAAACATCTAAAATAAAATAACAACTTGCAAATTAATTAAAAAATTTAACTTCAAAATAAATTAGACAAGTGATTCTCATCATCTTTTCTTTTAATAAAATAAGAAAATAAGACAAACAGAACTAAAAGCAATAAACCCATCTAAAGAGGTCTATGAGATTCTTTAAGAATAGCTTCTGGAGGAAAAATATGAAGGCAGGTGTTACATCCAATGCTCTCTTAATAAACAAATTTGCATCCTAAAATGATGAACATTCACATCCCAATCTTTGTTCAATAAAGCATATTAATCTACATCATGATTGTTAGCACACTTGAAACCCATATAATTTTTGAACCATACTAACAATAGAGCATAAAAAAAATCACAGACTGGAAATTAAGACATTCAAAGGACATAAACATTATATAGAAAAGAAAATGTACCTTAAGTTGATACTCATTGAGATTATCAAATCGAAAGGGAGACTGAGTCTGAGAATTTGAGATCAAAGAGGGAGAGTTATCAAGAATCAAGAAGGAAAGGGATAAAAATAGACAAGATCAAACCTGGTGAAAGCCAATAATCAAATACCAAAGCACTCAGGTTGAGATAAGCTCCTATAACAAGACAAAGCACCCATAACAATAATTAAAGATCATGAGATAAGCACCCAGCCACTCACAGTGAGAATCAAACTAAGTAGTAAAGGTGAATAAACAATTCATAGCCTGTCAAACCCTTCCATACTTGGATGAAGCATGAGGGTTTTTACTCACCTGTTTAGTTAAAAAAATAAGCAGGCTACTTTTGTGAACTAGCCCATGTTTAGTCTAAATGGGCAAGATAGACTGCGTGTAACATTCTAAATTTTAATCCTTAATTAATTGGAAAGATAATTAGGTCTAATTTGTTAAATGAAGTTAGTGGGTGGTTAAAGAGGATTAAGGATTAAGGCGATGCATAGTTATATAGAGCTAATAGAAATTTTAGGGTTGTGTTTTCAGCCCTAGGATTGAATCTGGAGTAAGGTTGAGCACTCGAACATCAAAAAGTAAGAAAGACAAATAGAAATAAATCTGTACCACATGCTGCGACACGTGCATGACATTTTGTAGTGCACGAGCCACCATAAAGAGAGAGAGACCTTTTTGTATCACATGTCGTGATATGTGTGCAAGTATCATAGTGCACAGTACGCTTCCTACATAATTAAGTCACAAATTAGACTTGAAAAACATATGAAAAGAAATAGAAATGAAGAGGAGATGCTTGAGCTCTGCTAGGGCTTCTATTTTAAGAAGATTAGAGATATTTTGAAGCTTTTAAATCCTAAGAGTAAGTCTCATAACTTCTTCTCTTTCCTTCTCAACCATTTTCTTAAGTTTGGAGAGTTAAGGTTTGTGATAGAAGTGATTTTGGTCCATATAGGTTATGAGCCTGAATTCATTAACTCAGATGGAATTAATGAGAATTGTTTAAATATTTAAAACTTAGAAATCAAGGGTTTACACATTTTTTATGGGTATAGGTATATTAATGGCCAAAAATGTCATTTATTGTGGTTGTTAGATTTGGTTGAAAGGCCATTAATGACAATGTGAGAGTTTAATAAAGCTATTGGAGCTAAAAAAAATTAATATACCCAATGAATAAGCCTAAATGTGAGAAATAAGAGTATTGAATATTTTAAAAATGGAAAATCAGAGTTGAAAAATATGTTGTGGCAATGTTAATTGAGTTTGGACTTGATTAATTATAGATTAATCATCCAAATGCCATATTTAACTTAGAAAGCAAGCTTGAAAGTATATATTAAAGAGTAACCTTCAACCTCTCAAAAATTTGAGAAAAATCCTATCTTGGATAGTTGTTTATTAATTGACTTGTAATGTAAAAATGGATTATTTGCATGTGTGATTGAATTTACGATTGAGAATATGTTATGAATCATATGAGTTTTTTCAATTCTAAAATTTTTAAAATTGCAAATTGAACTTTAAGTATTTTTACTCTATGAATTGTATTGAATTGAGGTATTGCTAAGTTTATATGATTATTTTGACATAGGAAATGTGTATTAGAAGTAATGTGATGATTTTAGTAGTGTGAATATGAGGATTAATTTAAGTGGATAATGTTTGTGAAAAAGATATTGATGCTCACTTAGGTAGCGTAATATTGTAAGCCAAACGTGTTGATGTTAAGTAAATTAAATTGTGAAATGAGTGAGTATGAACATTGCATGATTATTTGACAGGAGTTTGCCTATGGAGAGTAGTGAAAAATTTATATGGTATTTGTGGCCACTTTCCGGTGCATGAAGGTTAGCCATGTCCCATTATTTGTCAAGGGATTGTTCCATAGTTTGTCAAGGGACTAAAATCTAGCTATCTCCACTTGTTTATTGAAGGAATTAGCTTAGGGTATAC